AGCCAAGGGCTGACCTCCCGAGGACAGCATGTCCAACAGCACCCTGCACACATACAGGTGCGAGGGGGGCAAGCCCAGACAGACGTCTTCACACATGCACAAGCAGAGCACAGATGCTCTCCTACAGACAGAGCCAGGATCTTGGGTCCTGACTCCCATTGATTCTGCTGCTTCCAACAATATGAGTAGAGAGGGAGAATCCACCAAATTCTGTCTAACTTTCAGAGGCAAATCCCTTTATGAAAAATACTCTAAGATCTTCAATTAACTCATGGCCACATCATGCCATGAAACTCTATAGACTCATAGAGTGGCTGTCTTCTGGTGCTTAGAGGGAAAGATGCTCCCTTCTGAGGCATGAGAAGCACTCCTGAAATACCAGCCTTGTTCTTTAGAGCAATTGTTTTCAACTTTTGGCCAGTAGACCTGTGGCATCCATGGCCTACCTTTAATGGGTCCATTAAAGCTAAGAAAACCAACTTCTTATCAGTAGGTTTCAATTTACCATCAAGGAGGCTGAACAGCCCCCCAGAGTATTTTCAGAGTTCACAAATCAAGAAAGCTTGAAAATCACTACTTCAGAATTTCACACCAAAATTCCTGTTCAACCTCTCCCTCTCTGGGTAATGAGATATGACAGGACCATGACCGAAGGCGGCATGGCTGCAGGCATAAAAAAGTCTTCTCACTCAAGTTATTCACCAAATGAATAACCTGAATGAATCTCACTTCATAGTGAGTCTCTCAGGGCTCAAAGAAGGTGCAGCTACAGAGTTGGAAGCCCAAATTTGTGTTTCCTCTTGGGAAAAATTTTCCCGTAAAATTAAACAAGAGTGGCTACCAAATCAGCATCGTGAACATCCTTGCTGTACCACCCTTTATCCACTTTCAGAACTCTGTTACAGAGAAAAAAAGTTCAAAACCGCAGATCTACAATATTAAAAAATTGACTGATTGCATAGTTCCATAGGATGTTACACCCTATATTGCAATGCCAAGACAGACATGTCTGTGTGTGCATGCAAGGACGTATTCTTTGTGACTCCACTAGCTCACAGTGATCACACCTGACAGAAAGGCTCAAAACTTCTCAAGTACCCCAAAGTTTTGGGAAAACAGACAAGAAAGCTGAGGAGCCAGACTCCACCAGTGCCCTTAGTGAGGGCAAGGCCGCAGAGGCACCCTGCAATTGCACCATCAAAGGCCAACGTCAGACAACCCCTGGACTACCCTTTAGACACAAAACGGGAGGAAACCAGGCTTTTCTGGCTGCACGGCTTGTGGCATGATTTGCTGCTCTCCCCATAGTGTCACGGTGCCTTCATTACACTTGGGACCTGGGCTGTCCTGATGAGGCAAGGATGGGTTTCTTCTCCTCTACTCCCTCATCTCCACCTGCAGTACAGGCTCACGAGACTCTTGCCCCACTTTGCCACTGACCTGCTAAGCCACTTTCCCTCTCAGCACCCATTTCCTCATCTTTGAAATGAGGATTATGACCTCTGTGATACACTTTGATGTCCACAGATGAAGTGTGCTGTGGCACATATGTGCGTTCTCTCTATTTTAAAAGCTAGGTAATATATCGTCATGTTTTTTTTCTTTTGTTTATCCACCTTTATTATTAAAAATGGAAATCAGTTAACCACCCTGAAAAAAACACCCAGAGAAAGCAATTTGAAGCAATGGATGGGAAAGTGCAATGCTTATAAACTACAGGGCAGAACGTATTTGTCCACCCCACAGTTCACTGTTGCAATATTCCTGTTCTCTTCCGTGTTCTAAGTCATGCACAAAATGTGCTTCCAAAATAAATTATTTAGCCCTGAACTGCTGCAATGCACAGAAGGATGCTTGTCAGAGCAAAGTGTCACTAATGGAGGATACCTCGTGTGACCCAGATGGGAAGACGAGTTCAGACTGCAACATGCTCTGAGTGAGAATACAGCACCTGAAAGTGATGTGCACAGGCAGTGAAACCCTGGCTTGATCAGCCACCCAAAGTGGTTTCCATCTCTCCTTTTCTTCTCAGGAATGGCCTCATTCCCAGCCTGGGCAGATGTGCAAACTGAACTGGGGTCTTCTGAAGGCACTGTTGGAGGATGAAGGGCAGTTGTCAGTCTTATGCTGTACCTGCAGATGTTTGGGACTCAGTCAGACGCTGACTCTGCTCTTAATGCACCAAAACCAGTGCACCACTTTGGACCAACCAGTGACGTCCAGCAAAACCACTGCGTTGCCCACATATGATTGAGTACAGAATTTGCTCTGCATATAACTTTAACTGCTGGGGCTGGCAATTAAAATGTAAAGATATGATTCCCATTTTCCAGGTTTCATTTGCAGAAAGCGCTGTCGTGGTTTAACCCCAGTCAGCAACTAAGCACCATGCAGCTGCTCACTCACTTCCCCCCCACCCAGTGGGATGGGGGAGAGAATCGGAAAAAAAAGTAAAACTTGTGGGTTGAGATAAGAACAGTTTAACAGAACAGAAAGGAAGAAACTACCACTAATAATAATAATAATAATAACGCTAATAAAATAACATTAATAATAAAAGGATTGGAATATACAAAACAAGTGATGCATAATGCAGTTGCTCACCACTCGCTGACCGATGCCCAGTTAGTTCCTGAGCAGAATTCCCCCCCAGGCTAACTCCCCCCAGTTTATACACTGGGCATCACACCACATGATATGGAATGCCCCTTCAGCCAGTTTGGGTCAGCTGTCCTGGCTGTGTCCCCTCCCAACTTCTTGTGCCCCTCCAGCCTTCTTGCTGGCTGGGCATGAGAAGCTGAAAAATCCTTGACTTAGTCTAAACACTACTTGGCAACAACTGAAAACATCACTGTGTTATCAACATTCTTCTCATACCAAACTCAAAAACATAGCACTATACCAGCTACGAGGAAGGCAATTAACTCTATCCCAGCTGAAACCAGCACTGTAAAACCAGAAATATTAAGGCAAGTCTTTTAACTTACAGATGAAGAATATTTTCTGTGGACCTTCTCAAAATAGTAAACAGCTCCCACCCTGTCCTGCAGACCATGCAAAGCAACAGGAAGCCTCTTCTGGACTGAGCAGTGTCATGGTCTGTTTTGATCTCTCACATTTACAGGACAACATACTCTGTAAATTCAACTATATTTTATGAGCTCATTAGGAAAACAAACGAACAAACAAACAAAAATGGCAAACAAGGGCTCAATCCCCTTCGTATGGAATAGCCTAACGTGGATTCACTCATTCACCACTTAATTTATTAGGTTTTGAACTCACAAGTTCTCTAATTCATAACTGGTAATCTGTAACTCATAACTTGTAACTTGTGCACTTATGAGCAAAACAGTTCCCGAGTCGATGGTGAGAGTGCTCATCCTTCCTCCTCCATCACGGTACGGGTGTCCTCTGTATCACACCGGGATACACAAAAGCCTCAGCAGTCGGGCTGCTGTTGGAGCTGCTTCAAAAGCTTTTTGGGTGAGCTGACACATTTATACTGCCCAGTCTGGAAGTTAATCTATACCACTGCCATGAGTTAGGGGGGGTCTGAGAAAACTGCCCGACAATAAGTGTGCAAGGAGGATGGCTGCAGGGGACAGCAAGCTGCAGGTGACAGTGGCTGCAGTGGACCTTTAGCCCTTCCTGGCCTTGCCCTGCCTATGCCTTGCCCTTGCTCTGACCTCATGGTGCTGCTCCAAGGAGATACCCAAAACTCACCAGGACATGGTCCTGGGCAACCTGCTCTAGGTGAGCCTGCCTGAGCAGATGTTGGACCAGATGACCTCCACAGGTCCCTTCCAGCCTGTGTGATATTGTGCTCTGGTTTCACTCCTAAAGCACCTCAACTCAGCCCTGATGCCCACTGGAAAGGATGCTGAACAAGGGATGATTCCAAACTCCTCCCCAAGGATTCATCACAAAACAACAGCTCCCCACAACAGAATATCCTATGGCAGACACAGTCAGAAGAGAGAAAAGGTCATTTTATTGTGGACATGAACTGTGGGGATGCAGCAGTCATAGCGGTTCAGCCAGTGAAAATTAATCAGCACCTGCAATGACAGTCAGAAAGCTCTGATAAATCCATAAAGGCAGAAAGAGGCAGGATTTTGTTCCCCTTTCTTGGGGAACACTGTTTACAAGGAATTGTTTATGGCCCAGGAGAGAGAGTTATTGCTGCCATTGGCTACGGAATGGCTCTGGGGCCTTATCCCCATGGGTAATGCCCTTAGAGACCTGTGCATGTGCAGAGATGCACAGTGCCCTGGTGCCACACAGCAGGGCTTGATTGGGAGCCCCTGGGGAGCTGCCATGGAGTTCTTTCCAAACCCTGCACAGCACCATCCCTCGCTGTCCCCTGTCAGTGAGCTGGACTGACTTAGAGCAGTGCTGAGAGTTGAGAAAGATGGGCAGCAGAGCCTGGTACACACCTGGGCTTCCTGACCTTCTGCACCTTCCTGCATCTTTTCATTGGTCAATCCCCCAAAACTTTTTCTCTTCCTCCTCTTCTTTTCCATGTGGCTTTCACTCTCCTCTCCCCAGCCGTTTTCTCTTTTTGGTTTCTTCTGTTTTCCTTGTCCTGGGGAGAGCCTGCAAACCTTTCCACCCACAGTGGTATTAATTAGGGAGAGCCACGACCCACTGGAGTCAGTTCTGATTTTAACCAAAGCAAGCTCATTTTACCTTCTTTCCCGTGAACGGCTCGCCAGTTTTTCTGGGTGCCCCAGGGAGTCTGCCCACGCTCTTGGGGGTGATCAGAGGCAAAGCTGGAGGTGTCTACAACAGAAATGCTGGAGTTGGCGGGTGGCAAGAGATGACCTGCAGTCGTAAGCGATTGTTTGCCCCATTGCTACCTTAGATCTCCAGAGCAGATCCCTTTGGCTGGTTTGCAGCAGCCACATCTTGCACAGACAGTCTCCCCGCCTCCCCAAAATAGACTTGATGAAGTGGGACCTGAGCAAAACCCCTCTGAAGTTGGCAGCTACTCCCCCCTGTCTTTTCGTAGGTATTTTGTGGGCATTTTGTTTGATTAAGCACATGCCTAGTTGTATTGGGTTTGCATGGCAAGGTTTTGGAGGGGGGGGCTACAGGGGTGGCTTTTGTGAGAAACTGCTGGAAGCTTCCCCTGTGTCTGATAGAGTTAATGCCAGCTGGCCCCAAGATGGACCCGCTGCTGGCCAAGGCCGAGCCCATCAGCAACAGTGGTAACGCCTCTGGGATAACATATTTAATAAGGGAAAAAAGTTGCTGCAGCACAGAAACTGCAGCCAGAGAGAGGAGTGAGAACATGTGAGAGAAACAACCCTGCAGACCCCCAGGTCAGTGAAGGAGGAGGGGGAGGAGATGCTCCAGGCACCAGAGCAGAGATTCCTCTGCAGCCCGTGGGGAAGACCATGGTGAGGCAGGCTGTCCCCCTGCAGCCCATGGAGGTCCATGGTGGAGTAGATATCCACCTGCAGCCCGTGGAAGACCCCACACCGGAGCAGGTGGATGTCCAAGGGAGGCTGTGACCATGTGGGAAGCCTGCATTGGAGCAGGCTCCTGGCAGGACCTGGGGACCCGTGGAGAGAGGAGCCCATGTTGGAGCAGGTTTTCCAGCAGGACTTGTGACCCCACGGGGGACCCACACTGGAGCAGGGGAAGAGTGTGAGGAGTCCTGCCCCTGAAGAGGATGAAGTAGCAGAGACAACATGTGATGAACTGACCATAACCGCCATTCCCCATTCCCCTGTGCCACTGGCGGGGGTAAGTAGAGAATTCTGGAGTGAAGCTGTGCCTGGGAAGAAGGCCAGGGTGGGGGGAAGGTGTTTTAAGATTTGGGTTTATTTCTCATTACCCTACTCTGGTTTGATTGGCAGTAAATTAAGTTAATTTTCCCTAAGTCGAGTCTGTTTTGCCCATGACAGTAATTGGTTGAGTGATCTCTTCCTGTCCTTATCTTGACCTACCAGCCCCTTGTTACATTTTCTCTCCCCTGTCCAGCTGAGGAGTGGGAGTGATAGAGCGGCTTTGGTGGGCACCTGGCATCCAGCCGGGGCCAACTCACCACACTAGTGCATTTGAGAAACAACCCTGCCAGTCTTCCTTACTATGTATCATCCCAGGAGGTGGAGGAATAACCCGGACACCCACCAGCTCTACTGCCAGGCAGAGGCACAGCAGCAACTTGGCCTCATCAGAAACCCCCTCTCCTACATCAGACACACTGTCAGTGTTTGAGGATCTGACATACCTCTCCCATTTCAGACTCCACCACCCTATCTCTCCCCCTGCTTCGTTGAGGACACCAAGCAGAGAGGGGGAGCTGTGCGGCAAGGCTTCTGCCTGATGCTTGGTGTCTGCTGTGACTGCAAGGATGTTTTGCTCATCCAAATGCAGATCTAGAAAGAAAAAGCATGTGCAGCAAAGAAGTGACTTCCTGAAAGTAAAACAGCTCAAGCAAAACCTACCCAAAGCCCTACATCACTTATGATTTCAGCCCTCTGATGCCCTGCCTGCAGTCTTCAGTTCATCTTGCAGAGCAAACCATTCACACACCAAGAGGCAGTGGCCAAACAGGTCACAGGACAAGCAGAGCTGAGAGGATAACACTCAATGCCCAGCCATGCCAGAAATGATGCTGACATTTCTGGCGTTCCCAGCCCCAGCCTGTGACAACCCTCAGTCCCTCCTCTCACCTCTGGATCTCTCCATGAGGGCTGGCAACTCCTTGGCTGCTGGACAGGAAGGGTCAGTTGTCTCCTCCCCAAAGAGTTCCCTGCAGTTCTCCATCAGAAACTCCACCAGCACCTTCACCTGCACACATCAAACCCTTGGTCTCAACCCAGCTGCCTGAAAATGGACCAAGCAGCCTTTCCCACTCCTGACCCTTGCTTCTGCACAGAAGGCTGTGGCTGTGGGACTTCCTTTCTGGGCAGCCACCCCACCAGCATTTGCTCAAGGAAAGACCTCTGAGCAGCCAAGCTCCGATGGGCCAGGAAGGCTGCAGCCGGCTGGCCAATACAGCGTACCTTCTCAGTGACCTCCAGCATGGCCTCCAGTGGGAGCAGGTCCTCATTGGGTGGGCTCAACAGGTTAGGCCCAACGCACATGGCCAGGTTGCTGCAGCTCATCTTGCTGGCAGCTGTGTTGTGGCCAATATGCTGGAGGAGGGACAGCAGCCACTTCAGGAGGAGGAGATTGGCTGCAGGCAACTTCTCGGCCACCATGAGGGAACAGCAACACAAGGTTAATAAACCAGATGTTGCCCCACAGCCATCCCCCAGGCTTGGCCGAGGGAGGTGGGAGCCAGCAGCTGTGTTGCACAGCTTTCCAGGTGGTCTCAGCCAGTGGTCGGCGCTCCTGCTCAACAGGCAGGCTGCTGCCCACACTTACGCTTTCAGGTCTTCCATCTCCTCCTCCTTGCTGGTCTTCTGCATGGCTGCCATCCAGTCCTCATAGAGGTTGTTCACGAGGAGCTTGGAGGGGATGCTTCAGAGGAAGTCCTGCAAGGCCAAGGGCTCCATCTGAGCCTTTGAACACTCCAGGCCAGCCAGCAGCTCCTCTAGCTGCAGGTCAGAAGCACTCACCTTCAAGATGATGGCCAGCAGCAGTACAGGCTGGCTTCCCAGGTCGATGTCTGCATCACGGTCCAGGGCCTCCCACAGCTCCCAAAACGCTGTCCTGCTGGCAGCTCTTCGGAATATCCCTTCTGTCGACGGTCCTTCCTTGTGCAGGACAGCCAGCAGCTCCAGCAGGAGAGGCAGGAGGACAGTTGCTTGGCTGAGGAGCTGCCTTCCAGCAGCAGTGGTCAGAGCACTGCCCCAGACCTGGCTCCTTGCTGGGTGTGAAGAGCCCAATCCCCTGTCCCCAGAGCTCCTGGGGACACCCACCGCCTCTATGGAGCATCCGGAGGGAGGACTGGGGACCCCCTGGCCAGGCTGGTTTATCTGGATGGGCTGGGGCAGTGTGCCAGCCTCCCTGCAGAGGGCTGCCAGGGACTGGCCAAACAGTGTCCTGCTGCAGCTGGAGCTTGCCTGCCCTGGCAACCCTCTCCCGCTCCCTGAGTAGCACCACGGGACCCTCCCACACAAGCTCACCCCACTCACTGCACATCCTTGGCACGCCAGCACAGCCAAAGG